TTTGTTTTAACAAGAACTGCTTGCCTTGTACCTCTATTTGAAGCAGCTTGTTCCAGACACTTGACATTTGGAGGTCAGGATGGATACGGGTCTTGTGATCTCTCTTCATCCCTCACAGAAAAATACACAACTTGAAATGATGTTGCATTTTGAATCCTGTCATTGGAAATAAATCCCTTGTTTTCTGGGGGGAAAATAAATAAATCAGCTGTTCAAATCTATCTGGGAGGAAGCAATTCTAAATTTCTGATTTATTTCTTTTAGGACCCTTTTCAGCCAGCCCTGGTTTGGAGCACATCAAGAAAAACCCAGACATTTTGGAGCTGAACAAAACACTTAGAGCAGCACCCTTAAATCCAGAAAGAAGCCCCCAGTCAAATTTGATGCTTGAATCCAATAAAGTTACAGGTGGTCTCCTTGACCACTCAGTTTCTGGGAGCACCCGTACTTCTCCTCACTCTTGCACAAGAGGGACAAATCCCAGGTATGAGCAAAAAAAGCATGAGGGATATAAGCATAAAAATTATGTGAAAAAAAGGCAGGAGGAGCAGAAAGCAGAAAAGGAAGGAGCCTCTCTTGTGCCGCACAGGTTTTAAAGTGATTTATTTTTAGCCTGCAGTTTGCTGCTAGAGCCTCTCATCCATAGCTTTTAAGGCAGTTACTGCTGAGGTCTCACCTTGTCTTAGGTTTAAGTGATGCTACGGCAAATCTGGGTCGCAGCACCACAGCACTGCGGAATATAACAAGTCCATTATATACCATTTTTGTATGGAGTTAGCAAATTTATAGATTGCCTACAAAATCTTCTCTCTTTTATCCCTGTAATTGCCTTTCCTAAAATTCACCAGGCAAGGACAATAATTCAAATAATCTCCGTTTCCCACTAACCTAAATGTTAATCCTGGGCTGGCTCCTGTGCTTCAGCAAAACTCTTCTGACCTTGCAGGTGTAAGTATGATGCTGTTTAAGAAACTCCCCCTGTCTGAATCAGAGGCACATGGGCAAGAGAATACCAGCTTATGGGGCACAGAGAGCCACCCCCTGCCTAAATTCATCCATGCGCAGGAGCAGCATTTCATATTTTGTCACCCTTCAACACTGTGGTCACAACTGTCTGCTATGAATAGGTGACCATGGCCAGGTGTTTGATATTTTGGCCACCATACACAACAAAGACCATCCAAAGAAACCCAAACCTGATCATGAGAAGCCATGAGGAGAGAAAAAAAAAAAAAAAAAGACAAGTTTGAGCTAAGATGGATTTAAGGAGCGTGATTCATCCTCCCTGTGCAGACTCCTAATGGGACACAATCCAGCTGGATGACAATTTATACCAACTGAGGAGCTGTCTCCTAATGCCAATATCACAATAAAACTTCAATTTTCTTCTGCCCATTCTTAGTCCTGACTATTTGTGGTGCAAGTTTTTTGAGGCAGAACATTCTGATTTCAGGACCTGCTTAGAGCTGAGGGATCACAAATGCAGCATGAGCTTCTAGGCAATACTGCAAGGCAAGTAATAAAATATTTACCCTCAACTGCCTTCTATACTTGTATGCTCTGCAAAGGAAACCATCAAAAGTAGTCACCAATTTACAGTTGGAATCTTCAAAAGGAACAAAACCGAGCTGCCATATCCACATCTGTCTCACAACCATGTTTTCACCCCTTGACCCACTGCAGAACATTTTAATTTCTTACATAATAATAACAAAAAAATCAAATTTCAAACCCAAAGGAAAATAATTATAGATGACAAAATGGTTATGTGGCTTAGAAAACAGGAAGGGCTTTCCACAATGACATTAACGAAGCTGCAACCTTGACATATAACAGGACATATGATGCTCAGAGTTGGGTCCCAAACTCACCTTCAAGGAACCTGAAGTTTCATGAAAGCCTCAGCATGTGGAGGCACAGCTTGGCTCTCAGGTGGGTGAAAGTGGCACATTACCACTCACAGAAGCAATCCCCACCTACATTTCTTCCCTTCAGCCACTTAACATGAAGCTAATAAACTCCTACCCCCTAACTTCACCTTTTTTTTTTTTTTTTGAGAGTGCTACCAAAGCTACAGCCATTTTTGACATGACACCACGATCTTTAGCTGTACAACTGCTTTCTTTCTGGCTTGCTGGAAAAGCTTCCTTGATGTGCAAAGCCCTGCATACCCATAGGGCCTGAACTCGTAGAGTCTCCAATGATACCCAGAACGTGGTGTGGGACTACTGGTGCTAAAACGAGGCTTCCTGCCACTCTTACCATTAGCATTCTCCAGGAAAGATTAGCATGTCCCTTTCCAAGCATTAAACAGGAAAGTTGTTATGCTCATAACGTGTAAAGGCAGCGAGGAAATCAGCCCTGTGCGCTGCACCTCTCCCTTGCGGTTACGAGAGGAGGGAAGGACCAGTGCCTGTACTTACCAGGTGGTGGAGGGAGCTGGTTCCTGCTGCAGTGGTAGTGCCAGTGGAGAGGTGGCAGAGTTTCTCCAGCAGCAGCACGTGGAGCCCAATGACCAGAAACCCCTGGAACAGTGTGCTCTGCAGAGCATCTCCTCCGCTGCCAGGTCCCAGGAGCAGCAATTGCCATCCAGTGCCAATACCAGCCCTGCCATTGCCTTTTTCCAGAAATACCAAGGCACAATCCATCCCTGCACCCCAGATATTCCCTCACCAGGCCCCTGCACAGCAGAGCACGGTGCCTTCCTCTGGCTGCCAGCAGAGGCTTCACCAGCCCACAAACACAACTGAAATTGTTCCAGAGGATGCTCAGATGGAAAGGGCTGCTGGATATTGGTGGCAGAAGGGGACAGCTGCTGCATACTTACTCAGCTGAAGGCAAAGCTGTAGGGCCTCTTCCCAGTACTGCTAGACCAAGGAAGACACTGTTTGTATTTCTGGCCCACCACATCCCAGTTTTGGCGATGAACAGGTACTGCAGTGTTGGAGAGGCAAACACTCTCCACCAAGTAATCTGGTTACATCCTGTGCATCTCCTCAGCCAGTGAGGTACACAGCCAAGGGGCCTTTCCCCACCCTCCCTCTCTATCTCCTGACTGATGTCTTATTTTAAGAAGGGAAATAAAGCTTTTAGTAGCTAACAAAGAAGTTACCTAGGAATTTCTGCCCATTAATCCCTTCGTGTCATGCTCTGGGGTTTTCTTTTGTTCAAGCTACAGAGAAATGCAGGGCTGGGCATTCCTCAACCTGGAAGGAAAGGCACCACGCATGTGACTGGACTTCATGAAATGCAAGATTTTACAGTAACAGCATTATGGTTGGGTATGAAACTGCAACAGAGAGTGTGTCCAGCACCACACAGCTTGCCAGCAGTGGTCAGCACCAAGGAGTGTTCAAAGTCTGCACAACAGCAGTATCTGCAAAGTCAAGGGTGATACAAGCACAGGGAAGGCTCCCTGGAGCCACTGGCCCCAGGAAACCCAGGGGAAGCTTCAACACTGAGCCACATCCACACAACAGATCCAGACTCTTTGGAAACCAACAAAACCAGCAAAATGCAATGGAAGGGAGGAACCCTGGAAAGAGTGTTTCCAACACTGAATGACTGACTTGAGGTGGCTCAGAGCTGGTCACACAAACACAACTTCCTTTGTGTCTCTATTAAGAGATAATTAACCTTAAAAACACTTAGTAAAAAACCTGCGACCTTGAAAAATGAGTGCACTCTCTGCAGTGTGCCAGAGTGGCTCTTTTCCTCAAGTCAGCAGAAAGCCTCCTGTTCTTCCCTCTGTGAGAAAACTGGAAGAGCTAAAGCTGCAGCTGGGCCAGACGGTGAGATGGGATGGAGCATCCCCCCCCCCCCACCTGGTAACACCAGGGCACCGAGCACAGGTAAACAGAACGGTGCTCAGAGGCATTGAATGTGCCCAGAGAAAGCATAGAGAGGAGTTCCCGGAGTCTCAAGGTTTTATTGCACAGGAGAAATAAATAATCTAAAGGCTAAAATTACCAGAGATGAAACAAAGTGAAAGGCAGTGATTTCCCTCTCCTTGTAAATGCCAAGTTACAACAGCTCATGCCTCTGTGGGTCCCTGCCAGGATGGATGCCTGCAGGCAGAACAGTGCTCAATGGAGGGTTTTTTCCCTGAGGAGCAGAAGCAACAGTGATGGGAGGTCCAGATAAAATCTCACCCCACCCCATAGCCAGTGCCCATCAACCCTAAGATGTATTTTGGAAATCCTGTAGCACTCCTAGCTGATCTTCCCACATCCCAAATCATGGCAGCAGGAGAAATGGCTCATTCTGGAAGCTCACTATGGGCTGGACTTTAAGCAAAATAACCAAAGATGAGGCTAAACTTATTTTGTTAAAGCACTTCTGAATCATCTGTCCCTTCAGCCAGGAGATGCTCCATGTGGGTGCAGTTATGTTGTCAGGTCTCAGATTTCATATCAGCAAGCATGTGGGAAATCACTATGGACAGCTTCTAAGACATCATTTCACAGTTATAGGGAAGAGGTCATTATTCTGCATTACTGCATTTAAATGTGCAATTTCAGTTGTGAATACACTTCATAATCTCCTTGCACTTGCCACTGATTCTGGCCTATTGTCTAATGCCTTAAAGTACTTTCTAAGACCTTGGTAATTGAAATGCTGAGGTAGAAAATTACTGTATTACAAGCAGGGAAATTCACGCCGAGAGGAGAAGTGAATTGACCTGGAAGGTCACATCTATCTCTGGCACAGCTGGGAGGTGGGCCCCGGCTCCTGCTGCCGAGGTCACCACTCCCAGGCACAAAGCGTCCCTAGTCACCCAGAGGACATCTGAAATTGGGTGCTGTAAGCTTTTATAGTGGCAACAGATCTTTAGACCTCAATAGGGCTTATAATTGAATTCTTTTAAAGGGTTATATTGTCCTCAGAAACTCATCACTTCCTCGGACTGGCCCTTTCATTTCCAATTTTCCCCTCATTTTGGGTAAGATTTGAAGCCCAGCAGTGTTGTAGTTTGCATAAACAAACAAGCTTCAAATACATAAATAACTATTCACATTCTTTATGCATTAATTCAAGTATTTCACAAGGCACTGTGGCACCCATTAGCACTTCTAAATGCTTTTTGAAGTAATGGATTGATTTTTTTTTTTGTGTGTGTGTGTGTGTCCTTCACTGGAATTGGTTCCCAAACTCCTCTCTGCTGACAAGCGAGGACTGGTGATAGCGGTCCCGCGAGGCGAAGTCAGCGTTCTCCTCGGTGAGCTGCCTGGTCTCCATGCCAACTGTTGCAAAGGATGGTGTCACCACAATCTGCTCCTTGGGAGATGGCCTTCTCCTGCAAACAGAGAAGCAGAGGTACCTGCACCACCTCTTGTTTGTCACCCATTCCCAGCCGTGCTCTCTGCTGCACAAACAAGGCAGGGTTCTTCAAGGAGAGGCTAAATCCTTCTGAGTGCCCTTTGGAGGCAGGGAGCTAACCTGAAAGCACTTTTCTTAAAAGGCACACAAAAAATATACTCCCTTCTCCCAGTGAACACAGGAAAATATATATTTTCTTAACGAATAAGTTTCATCTTTGGATGTTGACTATGACAAACACCTTCTACACTGTGCAGGAGAAGAAGGAGCATGAACAATTTCTAATGAAAAACACCCTTCTTGTAATTTCCTAAGCAATAAAAAAAATTACAATTAATTTTTATAACTCTTTTTAAATAAAAGGGGAGATTTTCCTGCAATCTCTTTATCCCAGAGGCTGATTTTAAGAAAACCTGATTGCACATCTTTAAATCCAAACTGCAGGAGCATACAGCACTAAGACCTCATCAAGCACCTAAGAGCCTTAGAGGTGTCTAGAATCCTTGTAACTCAATAGGAAGGCCTCCCTTATTCCTTTTCATCCATATGACCCTAGCCTCCATGTAGATAATTTTTGGTTGATTTTGATTTCAGATTGATTGGCTTTAGGGCTCAATTTGATTTTTCTGTTTGTGCTTTAACCATCTAGTAAGTAGTAGAATAAACCTTGCCCACAAACTGAAACACTTTCACTTCAATATTAAACCTTTGCCAGAGTTTATCTGAGCAACCTAAAGGATTCATTTGCCACAACACAGTGCACACCCTCTGCACCCCTTCACCCCTCTTCTGGGTAGTCTGTCTGACCTGGGCTCTCATCCCCTAAGGCTTAGGCAAGCTGCAGCCTTACACTGCATCTCCCCTGGCTTCTTTCCCTAGGCACCTCTGTTATCAAAAGCATGTGGTCATGCTATTGGGACTGTGGGCAGAGGCAGGAGCTGGCAAGACAGACATGGGTATGTGCCAGTGTGCTTAAACTGTGCTGGACTTTCATTTATTTTCATGCAGCCACCAGATTTGTACATATAATGCATGGCAGTTCATGTTGTGCAGTCCTTCCTACAGTGTTCACTCACCCCAACCAAAAAGCAACCAAACCAACTGAGAAACTCAAAGCCATTTCAGGTAGTCACAACCTGCTATGGGAAACCCAACATGATGGAATTAATAATTAATACCATCAAAACAGATTAACAAAGCTAGTTAATAACCAACCAAACAACCCTCAAGATCTTCTGGGAATCAAACCCCAAGACAATGCTACTGCAGTCCCATGCAAACTCAGTACTGAACAGTTTCTTCACCAAAGACACTGTTTATTGTATTTATAACTACTGTAGCTTCCCCCACGAATTTCCTCTCTGAAACTTGAGCACAGCTGCCATGTGTGCCTGTTCCACCACTACCACAGTAATTTGCTTTCAGTGAATGGTGGGTGGAAGAGATAGAGATAGTCCAATTTCTCATTTCCTGCCAGCTTTTCCCATTCAACCTGAGCCATAAAGGTTGAGCACAAACCTTTGGGGTAAGATAAAGCTTCAGGCACCAAGATACAGTTATCAGCTGACATGCCTACACACAGAGCAGAGCAGACTCTGCTTCCCCACATAGGCAGCATATGCCAGACTAATGAGAGCAAGCAGCTATTTTTACCATTAAGTAAGAATAACTTTGAGTATGCAAGAAAGGGCAGACAGCCTGCTTAATAAGCAAGTCAATTCTTCCACCCCTCTCTGTGCACATCAGTGGGTCATGGGAACAATGAGCAACATGTTGGTCACTGCCAAGTGACTGGTACCAACCTGCACAAAGTGATCAAAACCGACTTAATCCAGCCAAAGAAACTGAAATTTGCTGCTGCTCCTATGGAGAAAAGGCACGAGAAGTCAGTATGCTGCTAATTCTTTCATAAGAGCATTACACCACTCAATCTTTGCATAAAATCTCAAACCAACATGCTTGTTATTAGCTTGCAGTACTCAAAGATTTTGTGATGGTGAGAATGTTCCTGCAGTTTTCCTACATGCTGTGGATTTTAAACACTTGTCAAGAAATGAACCCATATTTCCCACAGAGAACAGCTATCCCTTCCCAGCCTGAGGACTTGCTGAACCCTTGCGAAGCCAGAGCAAAGCATGGACACCCACTGCAGTACCTTTTCCTCCATGGTCCACTCAAGGGATGGGGAGACTGGAGGAGCCATTCAGCCAACCTCAGCTAGGGCAGCTGTGGTCTCGCCATTCATTCCCTCTTGCCTGACCCCCCAGAGAGCTGGCTTAGTATTTTACACTAACACTTTTTTTTTTTTTTTTTTTTCAGTTTCTCTATAGAGTTAGTTTCCTGCACTGGCTCCCTGCAGGGGCAAGGAAGTGCTGGAGCTGGAAGCAAAAGCAGCAGGAGAAGTTTGTTGTAAGGGACAGAAAGAACAGAGACCTGTCAGTGCCTGCTGGATGTGGCTTAGGCTGCTGGGGAGGAAGAGACAGGAGAAGGGCATTTTTCCTCTCAAGGCCTTCACCTAGCCCTTGATCCAAAGCATCTCTCAGGCCACAGTGTCTCCCAGCCTTTCTAGACAGAAGGGTTGTTCGATCCTTTGAAGAATAAACTCACAGATCACCAGAAGCCTTGTGACCAAAAAATAACATTCACTCACAGCCAAGTGAAAATCAGGCTGAACTCTGAGTGTTTCCTTCTTACATTTTCACTGCCATGCATTGTTTGTGTATGTATGTGTGTGTGTATGCATAAATAGGTGAGTATGCCCACACCTTCCTTTAGAGACACAGAGCAATGCAAACCCCTCCAAGTGGCCTTGCTAAGGAGCTATAGGCTCTCATGAGCTGCTTTCTGAATGTGCTTCACTGTTTAATTTTAAACTTGTTCAAGCTGATCACATGCAGAGCGCCTTCTAATGCCCTCTGCCTGAAAGTATTTTCCCAGATTATGTTCCCAACACATTCAATGTGTTTAGCTCTAGAATCAAAAGGCTCTCTTGTTCCACAGTTACGAATGCTGAGATTTAATGAGATACTCATCATAATTCCCATTTTCCTTAAATTTTTCTCAGGTGGGTTTAGATTGATTAAGTTTATTAAAACTAATTTATAGCGGATTTTTCTCATTGCTGTTACACATTTACAATCTGCCACCCCTATTAAGTCTTGGTATTGGTTTTGCCATTTAAAGAACAACATAATAAAACAATAAGCACTATGCTCAAACTATCAAACCAGTGCTAGGTATAGATAGAATCCAATAGAAAATTAAAGAGTCAGAGAGAAAATGTATTAAAACCAGCAATGAAACAAAACCTCATCATTCACTGTGTCATCTGCATATTAAACACAAGAGCCTCAATTCCTAATTAAGTTAAATCAAAGCTTAATGAATTTTTAAGCAGATTTAATAATATAGGAAAAAAAAATACTCACCAAGGGGGAGTCCTGGGCTCACTCGGCCAATGTAGAAATACAGAATAACTGCTGCACCCAGGCTGACCAGAGTGTAGATCCACTGAATGACAAACATTATGATGAGGGACACAACTGCCTGTTGGAAAGACATGGTTTGGGGTTACCCCAGAGTCTGTAAGGTAATATGTTGTAGACAGTCCTTTTTCTGCAAAGCCCAGCAGCTTCACTGACCTCCTGCTCCAGCAGAACTCTCTGTGGGAGAACTGGCAGTGTGGTGCCCAGGAAGGACTGCTCACCTTCAGACACAGCCCAACACTGACCAGGTCAGCAGATTATTCCTCAACCTGGCAAGATGAGCACGGACAGCAACTCTAACAGAAACTCTTCAGTAACTGAGGCAGTGCTGGGACTTTCAAGTTGTTATGAGAGCATCAGGAAATGCTTTCCCCCCCCACCCACCCCAGAAATGCTGCATCTTGGTGTTAAGTGCATGCAAAACCAGTGCTTTGCTGGCATTGTCACACCTCCTTCTCAGGGTTTTCTTGGGACCCTTGTGTAAGAGACATGTACAGTCAGGACCCAGAATACAGCCACTCGGAATTATCCCAATGAGTGGCTCCTTTTAGGTGTCTCCTCCTAATGATGTGCTGGGATGGGGACACGAGAAGGACTCTCCTTGCACAAGACCTGCTGCACAGCCCAGATCCTGCCCGTGGGAGTGATGATGCCACCTGCAACCACGTGGGTGGATGGATGCCCTTGGGCATTGGTGGCTGGGGCCAGTGGTGCAGCTGGACCCCTGGGGACCCACACCATCTCCTGCCTGGGAAAACACCCCACAGCAAGTGGCTTTTGGCCACACATACAGCATTTCCACCTAGTGTTACTGAAAAGATCAGGGTATGTCACGGCTGAGGGTTCGTGGAAATGAGGTTCCCATGTTACAGAAAGCCTCATTTGGTCTCACTGTTAAAAGGAGAGACATCACACGTTTACAGTGTCATCTTCAGCAGCGTGGAGCTTCAGTGAGCTACCCTGAGTCCTAGAGGCAGTGTGGGTCTCTGCTTGGGCTACTCCAAGAGAAGTTTCCAGAGGCTCACAAGCTCAGGAGACAGATTTGGCTCAAGTGGCATAGGAACAGGGTAGCATCTCCATGGGTGAGGTTAGGAACAGCAAGGGGCAGCATGCAAAGGAAGAGCTAAATGAGTCCCAACTGACACGACTGGTGAAGCTCAAAGAGAGAGGGCAGAGGGGAGAGGAGTCAGGATGAATAAACACACCTGTTTTTTGCTTTTGTGATTTTATATTTTATCACTGATTCCTGTCCCAGCTCTGTTGCAACCTCCTCCCAAGTCTGACTGTTGACAGGGAACCAAATCTGCTTTAATGAACATGTCAGTCATCCCTGTAAGCAAATCCCCCTGCAAAGGCAGAGAGCTGAATGCTCTGCCATGACATGCACTTGGGAGCCACATTAGTTACCAGGCCCAGAGATGGCATCAGCACACAATCTTCTAAAGGTGACATCACTAAAGAGGGACCACCACATCCAACCTACCCCTGGTCCTGCAGCCTGGTGGGACCCCTCACAAGGAGCTGGCTGCGGGCAGCAGGAGCAGTGAATTTGAAAAGCAGGTGTCAAACTCCATCTGAGGATTAAACTAACAGGGTCTGGTGGGTTGTTTGAGTGGGTTTGTTACATTTTATGCACAGCTATGAAATCCTCATCCATGCAGTAAAGCCATATGGTTCATTCATTATGCATATCTGACCCTTTCCCTGTCATCTGCCCAATAATCAATCTTCTCAAGATGAATTTAAATGCCTTAAACTTCTCAGCAGCTTGAGACAGGAGCTATTTATAAGTTATTTATTATTTAGAGTAACATACTGGAGGAATGCTCTCCTTTCCTCCCTCAAAAGATGGAATTTCACAGCCAGGCTGTTGGAATCAGGAGGTCAGCACTAACAAAACCCCACCCCAACCCTGCAGAAACTGGCTCATAAATAAAAGCAACACAGCTTTGAAGCTGATGTCTCAATCCATCCCACAGCAAGAAAAAGCAGGCTGGTACACAGTGAGAAGAGGGACACTGATCTGTTTCCTAGCCAGCCATGCATCTTTAAAGTTTAAATTACAGACTTTGAATCTGTACCTTTTTGGTTTGGGGTTGGGGCTTTTTTGTTTGTTTATTTGGAGGTTGGGGTTTTTTTCCCCTGTTGTTTAATTTAATATGCCATCAGGCTTTCTCTGAATTTGAACTGCTGGATGCATGGTACCTTGAGTACTTAATTCAGGTATCATGGAATACTAGATTCAAAAGCCATTTTTCTAAGTATTGGAGTGTATTTTGTGATTATTTTCCTTCTGTTTTCTACAATCACAAACCACTGCTCAAAAAAAAAAAAAAAAAAAGAAAATTACTTACAACAGCAAAGGAAACCCAGTGACTGAAAAATCTGGAGTAGAAGGACTCTGGTATTTGTTGAATTCCCAGCTCTGGGTTTTGTTGCTTTATAGACATTTCTACAGAAAAGAAAAAAATATTAGAAAGGAGCTATAATGTGGGGTCTTTTCCTCTATTTTACCTTACCAGATTCGAGGAACCACAGCAAAAATTCTAGCTGACTGTTGAGTATGACAGAGTTAACCAACAACTCTAAAATGAAAACTGAAAAATGCAAGAAAAAAAAAAAACAAAAAAAAGTTGCCATCTCTGGTACTGAGTCCATTTGAAGGCTACATCTGTCTATCTCTGCCTCAATTTCTCTATTTTGTGAAATAAGAAAAATAATAATTTCTCCCTCAGAGGAGTTTATGAAGCTTCACTGACTAATGCTGATGAAACACTATAACACTTGGAATGAGAAACTCCACCCAAACACACTTTATCAAATACCCACAATCACCAACAGAACAAATTCAAATCCTCAGCTATGTCGATGTTGGATTCCAGACTCCAGCTGTGGCACTGGGACCACTGAGTTTTGATAGCCTGAGTTTTAGACTCACATGGCTCCACCCCTCCTACCCCACACCACGATGAAGAAAATCCCAAGATACACTCAAACCCTTTTTAATGTACAGCATTAAGCATGTCTCTGTAGAATTATGAGTATATAGTAAACAACCCAACACTAAATATAGTCCTGCCTGCTTTCCTGTGATTAATCTTCCGTAGGAAATTGCATTGGAACTTCTCCTGTGATGCATTGCAATGAACTCTACCCTCACCTGGAATAAATGATATTATTGCTATGAATCACTGAATGACAGCCCCATACAAAGCTAGTTTCACGCCTGCCTTCAGGAAAGCACTGGGAGGGCCAAGGCTGTAAACCATTCCCTCTCAGCTTGGAGATGTCTGTCTCCTACAGCCCTCAGCCTCTCCCCTCCGGCCAGGGAGCATCATCACTTCTCTGCAGAACTGTTCGCCCTGCTCCAGCATCCCAGGTGGGTGTTGGGCATCCACAGTGGGTGGTGATCACTGACCTGCATCACTCTGACAGCGCTGCTCATCCAGGTCCCGCTGGCTCTCGCTGTGGGGTTCTGTGGTCTTATCCCAGCCATACTGAGCTGGGGCAGCATCATGATGGAGATCCAGGAGAAAGCTGTCTTGTAATGTCTGCTTTGCTGGCTTCTTTGCCTTCTTTTGTTTGGCCTTTTGGGTTAAATTCTCAGCTCCTTCTTTTTTGCAGGTACCTGGCTCACTACAAAATGGTTTAAAAATCTGGTCCATGTCTTTTTTGAATTCCAGCAAGGTGCCATTTGATCTGCTTTGAGTTACTCCATCTGCTGTGTGGCTTGAGGGCTTGTTGAAAATTAAAGGCTGGGAAGAGTGAGCAGGTCTAGCAGTTCCCATCTGGGTCTCGTCAGGTTTCTGCTGAATGTTGTGGCTCAAGGAGACAGAGAAATAGCAATAGTCTACAGCAGTATATGTCAACATGTAGTTGATGGTGACTATGGGAGCAAGAACGTTCACTTGCCCAATGAAGACAAAAGCCATAGTGATGAAACTTGTTAAGCAAATCGCAGCCACTGGAGTCTTGTTGGGGCCTTTCTAGTTCATAAATAAAACAAAATTACATTTAAATTAATAACCATGAACCCTGCCATGAGGATTCCCCACTTGCTCAGCTGCCATGGGTGGTTACCTGCATTATCTGCAAAGTACCCCCTTAGTCACGAAATACACGCATGCATGTGCAAACAGAGGCTCACAGGCCTAATAAATTAAAGAAGAGGCTGGAAGCCAAAAGCTGTTGAGCTCCCACCTCATCCCCGAGCCTTACTCAAGCTTTGTCTTTGGAAAATTCATCCACTCTCACTTGTATCTCCATGGTAAAACAATGTCATTAAAGCAGCAATAAACCTTCAGAGAGATTTGTGGGGCTTATGGGACGTCTGGCAATAAAACGTGTTAATTAGAGTTAACTGTTCGTCTCTAATTATTCTACAGGACTCTGCATCGCTGCCTACCCCAAGGGCTCCTGTATGCTGCCCTTGGAAAGGCTTTGACTGCCACAGTCAAGGCAGCTCTGCCTGCACAGAGTGGTGCCACCTTCACATCAGCAGCTTCTGGTCCTGCCCTGACGCACAGCTGAGCTAAACCCACGGTCTGCTGAGTCTCTGCACGTGGGGTTTCCCTCCTTTAACCCACCCAAACTGCATCTGCCCAACAGCAGGAGGAAAGCAGCAGTGAGGTCGGGCAGGAGAGGATGCTGGAGGGTGGGAGTCAGCCCCCAGCAATGTCAGGCATGTGTGGGGAAGGGAGACAGCCAGGGGAAACATCACCTGCTCTTCTCCTTTGGGAAGGGGTAGAGGCAGGGAAAGGAGGAGAAAAAGAGAGGGAGAGCAAAGAGCATTAGGGATGGAAATACTTGAGACTCCAGCTCATGAACTGAGCTCAGGTCTAACATGCCCTTCCTTGGACCAGGCACTCTGTTGCCATTTTGCCACCTGAGAAGCCTGTGCAGGTTGTGCAAAGACCTTGCTGGAAAATATCTTACAAAATATGCTAGGTTTTCACTTACTGCATTTCCTTCTTTAATAAACACACAGCTCAAATTGAAACTGTTTCTATTTCCTTCACTCTTACTTATTAATAGAAAGGGGGACCAGTTCTGAACCATTACATCTTTTCAGAATGAATAGAAATACATCTCAGGGACAAAGGAACACAGATCTCAGAAAGCATCTTCAGTATCAGAAAGATGTACTGAGATGTGGAACAGATGGAATGATCTCATGATGCCTCTGGCTTGGGTTTAACTCTACAGAAAACATTCATGTCCTTCCCATCAGCTGAGGTTTTGGTGACCACACTTTCTTCAAAGAATAACTGATGTGGTACAGATGGGTAAGGACAAATTAGATGTATTTACTCTCCATAAATCAAATGTAAACAATTTTCAAGGTGACAGAGAGAAGGAATGGGGAAAAGTGATCTGTCTTTGATTTCTCACCTCTTTTTAAGCCCTTCCCATCATGGCACTCTGCCTGGAGTTCACTGCAGAAAATTTGACAGAAAGACAGAAAACTATCAGAGCAGAGAGGGAATCAGCTTTCCAGTCAACTTTGATAAACCCCTGAGAATTTCACAAGGGTTGCCAAGTGGAGAACAGCCTGTTTTGGGATCACCTGAAAACTACCTTCAGGAGCTGGAAGTTTTTACTGTTGTTACTGTTCCTACTTTGCCTATAATTATTACTATTCATTATTATTGCTATTATTACGACTTTTATCTTAGCAAATTACTTTGAGAAACATAAAACAGTGGGTAGAAAACTATGATACTTATAAAACATTTAAATATTTTAAAACATTCATAAAACCACTATTATAAAATATTTTTCTGTATTTACAGGTGCTCAGGAGGAGCAGAGCACCATAAGGTCTTTCCAGCCACTCCACACAGACAGTACAGTAGGTTATTGAGTCATGGAATTATTTTCTCCCTCTCCAGAATAAAGGAAAATCATAAGAAATTGTTTGCTCTGGCTGTATAACCCAAGACTCCAGAGCCCTTGGTGACTGATACCCTGACTGATATCAGTAGAATAACTCATGAATGAAGATTATTCATGAGGACAAGGCAAAAGTTTTTTGTCATGTTCCAAGCAAGACTTTGTTTCAAACCATATCTAAGGCTTAGAAGCCCCCTAACTTAACCTTTCAAATCTATTCTTTGTTTTTATTTAATAGTGTCCAAAAGGCACCTTATCTTACAAAGAAGAGTCCTCTTCTCCGGTGCACACAGATTGAATCCACAGCACCACGATTAGGCACATCCTCAGGTATGAGGTTACCACAGAGGACAGGAACAGCTCAAAGAAAGTGCGCAGGAAAGAATAAGAAAAAAGAAAACAGAAAAAAAAAAAAAAGGTAAACAGACAGTTACCATCCATTTCACCAAGCACAGGGACAAAAGCTTCAGGCTTCTGCCCTGGACAGAAGAGCAGAGAAGAGCTAGGTACTTCCTTTGGTCATGGTCAGGATCAGCAACATGTAGATAAGGTGTTTGCAAAAAATACTCCACAGGCCAAGTTATATCATAAGTGGCTGTTTTACTGAGGACATCTTGAAGAAGTGGGTCAGAGGGAGGGAGGGAACCCCGGGAAGGGCTGTCCATGCGTGGCAGAAGGACAGACAGATCCAGGCTGAGGCACAGAGGTGGGTGAGCAAAATGCCAGGGCAAAGCAGGGCTGCTCCTGCACAGTGCCAAACCCTGTGGGAGGGCTCAAGGCAGAGGCAGTGCAGCACAGGGGACAGGCAGGGGAAGGACCATAGGCAGCTGGATGCCTTGTTTTTTTCGTGAAACCACCCGTTTCCTGGCTTTTCTGCCTATGCATAGGATACTGGATCCTGAGCCTTCCCCTCCTTGCGTTTCACAGATCCCTCATCTCACTCTACAGACACATCTTGGCTGTTTAAATTCAGGTGAGGGTTTGACAGCAATCTCAGAGAAGAGATGACTAACCCCACGTCCAAGGAAGGCGAGCATAGGGATCACATTCTCCTGGGCAATGCATTGCAGGATCCTGGGTCCTCCATACAGCCCTCCCATGCAGGAGGCCAGGGATGAGATGTACAACCCTAGCAAAAACAAAAAACCCACCAAGGATACCTGGAGGAAGCAGAGAGAATGAAAAGTTGATTATATTGGCCTTTAAAGACCCCCAAGCAGTCTTAAATACATGTATTTTAAGAGATCCCATATATTTTGTAACATTGTTAAATGAACAGAGAGAGCCCTGGGAAAGCAGCTATTTAATTGGACTGTGGTAAAAAGTACAAGCAATTAATACAGGAAAATTATCCCATAAAAGTAATTTAATACTGAACATCCTGTACCGACAGAGACATTTTACAAGCTCATATCCAAGAAACTCTTTGTCACTTGGAGCAATTGCAGCAAAGCTGCAGCTATTAGATTCCCCTTAAGTAACTGGAAGTGAGTTTATTTCAGGAGAGATCACTTATATACAGAGCACATCATACAGGAAAAGCTGCCCAGGCTTCCAACCATCCAAAACAGGAAGACAAACCCCTGCGTCTCAGAGGGGAAAACCAATCCTGAAAGAAAACCCACAGTAAAACCAAATCAAAATTGCCACTTAAATAAATGGCATCTCAAAAAACATGCTCCAAAGGATATAATACAATGACCTTATTTTCCTGTCTTCGATGAGAAAAGAATTTCCTTTGGCCAACGTGAAACTTTAAAAAAAAAAAAATCTTTAAAGCCATAGTGCTAACAAGGCTGGGTTTAGAACTGGTTTCTGGAAAGCACCCTTTCAGTCTGGGAGCATCTTCTGCAGGCATGGAGGAAAAGGAAAGGCAGCTCCTGGTCTGTCACACAGAAGCGAGGACAGGGGTCCCTCTAAGCAGGTCCCACTATCAAGAGCTGCAAGCACAGACAGCATATCTAAAAAAACCCCACCCAAATACACAACCCCCCCCAATATGAACATCGTGCAAGAAAGCTTTGAAATGGGAGTGCTCCTGGGCACTGCTGTGTAAGGACATGGACAGTCACAACTAAGGAAACTAAGGTCTAGGGTCACCTGAGTCATCCCCAGTTCCTGCAAGACCACACAAGTCTGACAGAAGGCAGCTAGGCACAGAGAGCAGCCAGGCATGGGGGTAACACCAGCACAAAGGCCAGGCAGAGAGAAAAACCCTGCCCATACTCCACTGAAGCAAGTGTTGAAGGTGCAGACAGACATCTGTGGTAGAGGATGTCACCAAATGCAGGTGCCCTGCATCGCACGTCTTTTGCTGTCACCCCTCCTCTCCAGGAAAAGAAGGTGCAAAATGAACACTGGTTCTCCCAGGTTCTGCCCCTGTTGAAGTCAGGTGGCACATTCTTTATTAGAAGGAATTACAAAAATTTACTTGGCTAAAGATGAGTCAAACAACATCTGGCTTTTTCCTGTCTACGGAATCTGCATGCAGCAAAAAGCAGATTGGGTAAAAAAACCATAAAAAGTTCATTGTTTGGGGAAGGCATGTAAAATCAATGTCATGATCCAGGACTGTACAAACTTCCTACCACAACATTTCTTTTCCCCATGAAAATCCACTTGGCTTTTTATCTTGTGGGACAGAAGAAACCCGAGGTAAAGATAAGCAGATACCAGCTTCCATTAGACCAACAGACTCAGTGGGAATCTTCCCTTCCCTCTCCTCTAATCCTACCCTGCTCTGAGAAATACTTGGAAGAAACAAACAGTTGTGCCAGACATCATATATTATTTTAGCTGCTAAAAATGCTCGCATTTAAATGTGCTACTTGACATTCAAATCAGGGTTAGAGGGGAAGAGTCCCTTTCACTGAGGCTGATGAAAGGGTTTGCTGTGGGTTTTGAACACAGAGAGTGTGAATATATTGCAAGGAATTGGCACTTGGAGCTCATTAGAAGTGAAATTACTGAATCTCATTTTTATGCTTATAAAGACAAACAAATATTGTAACAAGAAAAGCAGCCAAGCACTCACTCACCTGTGAGTGACAGAAAGGGAGAGTTTAGAGGAGTAATGATCTCTCCCTCCTCCCTCTCTCCAAAGTAATTAAAATCTAAAACAGCTAGATAGCTTAAAGAAGCAACATGAATATTGGGATTGCATCATTGGTTTGTTCAGTATTTCAGAGACAAAAACTGAAGTTGCTTTTTTTTTGGGGGGGGGGCAGTTGCTTGTTTGTTTTTTATATTTATGATTATTAAATATCTTCTCATTCTTTACTAGAAGATTTTTCATCTCCTCCCTGGGGGTTTTGAAGTTAAAACACAGCTTTAACAACCTCCTTCTCTTCAGCTGATTCATTTAAATCTGATTCTTTTAGTTACTGCACTTTTCACCCACTAAGTCACTGATGAACAAAGAGGTTGCCTTACAGAAGGTAGGCTCATTCTTTTTTATCCTGAAACAGAGAAGGGGCTTTTTTTTACCTTAGCCAGAAGTGGCAGAGCCCCACCAACAATCTGGAGTTTATCTGGGGGGCTGGAAGAAATCTAGAGCTAAAATTACTCAGAAAACAAAGCCAGAGTTTTAAACTGATATTTCAGATTAAAAACCGTGTTACAAATCAAATAACACAAGCTTCTCAACTTCAATTTAATCACAAGAAATTGTGTCAAATACAGTGAGCCCATGATTTTGAATAATACCGAATAACAGAAAATTAGCCCTTTTATATCCCGTTCTAGGTAAGACAATGGCACACACCAAAGTCTTTTGCTCTCCTTTTAAAGGCCTGCAATGGTAAGATGTAGCATGTTACACTACAAACCTCCCTTGTGTACAGACACCCGTGTGGAATGTCTGGAGTTTAATAATCCTATTGCTCGCCCTGCAATTACAGCCTGCTAGATATGGAAATGTGAGCTTCGCTTGACTTAGTAAAGATAAGCAGGGGGGTTCTTTAGAGATTTCGGTTTGGTCTAAGCTTTCACACACGAGAAAGGATACACTGAATAAAATACAGCATTTATCATTAGACCACATTAGCATACTTTAGCTCTTAAAGCTATTGCTTGGGTGATTATGCCAAGATTCGGCATTACTGGATATGCTGGTGAATGCAAAGCTATTCAAGTCAATTGTACACTGGGATTTGCAATAGGGAAATCCCCCTGAATTTTAATGAGGGATGCGTAGGAAAATTCCTTAGGCTTTTGGAAAATTCAAGCATTCAGTAAGGCAGATGGCAACCTGAAAGCACCACTCTACAAAACCATGCTGGGTTATTCAAACAACTTACCTTCTCTGCTATCATGAAGTCATAGCGCAGTGACTGACGGGTACAAATGGCTCCCAGCAAAAAAACAAAGACCATGTACAGAAACCACCTGCAAACAACAAAAATAAACTTTTTTTTTTTTTTCCTCCCAGCAAGACAAGATCATTGAGCATTCTGCCCATTAGGAGAGCCAGGATACAAGTCAGGTACCCACAAGCTGGTTCTTGGATGACTTCATGGTTCCTGCATGATTTCACTTCAGGGCTAAATTTAACACTGGTCCTTGTTACCCACTATGATGTGCCAGGGACAGCTTCAGCAGAACTGTATGGTACTCCTGAGGGGAAGCTACCTGCACTCTTGAGGTGGGCATGGAGGAATATTCCCATCCTGGGGATAGACTTTTTAGTAGGGCCTGCAGCAACAGGACAAGGGGTAATGGTTTTAAACTAAAAGAAGTGTCCATTCAGAACAGCTATAAGGAAGAAATTTTCTATGATGAGGGTGGTAAAACATGGGAATAGGATGCCCAGAGAGGTAGTGGATGCCCCACCTCTGGAAACATTTAAGGTCAAGATGGCTGGGGCTCTGAACAACCTGATCCAGTTGAAGATGCCCCCTCTCATTGCACGGGGGTTTGGGTAGGTGGCATTTAAAGGTTCCTTCCAGCCCAAACCATTCTGTGATTCTGTGGTTCTGTAGGTACACAGGTCCCCCCATCTGGCAGTAATGTTACCAGCACAGCCAGTCTGCTCTGCAGCCTCGGTTATGATCCTCATCTGGGGTCTCTGGCCCTTCCAGTACTCAGGTGGGGGGATAAGTTAGTCTGTCTGTAAAGCCCAGACAGCAGAGATGAGAATGACACAGCCATGGATAGTTGGATATCTGTTAAGCTTCTGTGTCCTGTGGAATCCCCCCACTGAAAACAAGCACAAATTTCAGCAGGAATCCTTCCAAATTTTGAAGAACCTTCCTTCCTGACTGGACCTTGGTGCACAATTAAAAGTAATACTTTCAAAGGCAATTTAGGTGGCAATGAAAGTAGGCAGGAAAACCTACTGGGGGGGGGGGGGCTTTAACATGTAGCAGTACTTTACTCCTAGGAAGTTTCCTTTCTTCAGGGAGATCACTACTTGGCTTGGATGCAGGGCTCCTCCATTCCCCTGGTCTTGCAGGGGGGTAGGTCATCTCACCTGTCTTGGCCTCATTCTCCCAGTAATAAAAAATATAAATTTTTAATATTTATTTTCTATTCATACAGAGAAATAAAGAAAAAAAAAAAAGAACACAAATAACCCTCTGAAATAAACAGCAATAAATGACAAAATCACACACCCCAAGGATTCAAGAACTGTGCATCCCACTCTGGGACAGCCAGGCTGCAGCAGTACAACCACTCCAACACCAACACACATCCCACCCAGCAGAGGAAGGACATTAACAAAGATTTTCGCCAACCCACCCAGAGTACGTGGCGGTAATGGATGATAATTTGAATGAGAGCCACACTTTAATTTTCCAGATGGCTGAGTAATACAAAGTAGATGGGAATGTGAAGTGGATTGGTCACACCCAGGGCTGTCTCCAGAGTAAATTTTCCCCAATCTGTGACTTACGAGGTGCCAATAGCAGCCAAAGATCCCAGAGGGATGTTGGTGGCAGGCTTCTGGAGATCTCTACTCATGTCGAACCCAACCATCACACCTGTATTTTGCAGAGATAAGCGAAATTTAGAGTCAAGAGAAGTTATAGTACATATAATACACATTAAAATATGTAATATAATTTAATCAATCAGTTATTTGATTGATTCAGAATAGTAACACTTCATTGCACTGCCATGCAAAATGAATACTGGCCCCTGTGGACTGCTTGGTAAGAAACTGTGTCTTTCATAGAACCAAGCCACTTCTAACACATCAAAGAACCCTTTGTCCAGTTTGAACGATGCTGGGTGGGGGAAAACAAACAATGTCTGAACAAAACTCATCTTATCTTAATACAAACATCACAGAAGACAATGCAGCCCAATTGTTGAAAAGAAAAATGCCAGTGTTCATCACGGCAGCACATGCAGCAGGTGGTACTACCCCCGGACCAGATCCATTACAGGTCCCTGCATTCATGGGGGACAGCCACCCTTACAGAACAGCCTGTCCTGTCCGCCTTGAATGATGATCACATGCACATTTAGCAGAGGGAATAACAGTGCTCTCGGCACGTAGGTGGCACCTTCCAGCCAAGGGATCTGCTTTGGAAGTAGGCATTATCTCTGCTTTGCAGATAGGAAAACAGAAACGCTGAGAGGGCAAGTGATTGTCCCAGCATCACGTAGAAAACACATGGCAGGACTAAGAATAAAGTAGTGAACTGTTATTTTAGGCCAGAGTACAGGGTATTATACAATCAGGGAGAGTCCTTAGCCTAAAAAATTACCATCTAAAGACGCTAGAAAAGGAAACAGGATGAAGCAAAGTATTAGAGTCTCTACATTAAGGCTAAGAGTGGTTAAGAGTTTTTGTCCACAGTTGAAGGAGGAGTCATACCAGCCTTGTCAAGAAAACAACTTTCCTTGTCACATTATCCCAAAAGTTTTCCTAGAAGACTGCAGGTATCTGCTATAAATAATAAATAAATAAATAAAAATCTGTGATTTAAAATCCTGATGAGAATTTGGACAATTTGAAGGCAGGACCAAAGAGCCTCTTTAAAACACGAATTTCTGCCCATCACCGTCCCACCCCTCAGATGTCAGATGAATGTCTCCATAAGGACACGTGGGCCAGGAGCCAGCCAGCATTGCTGATGGAATGGTCCCTGGGAGCCGGGGTGAGATCACCACAGAACAACAATGAGAAGGAGAATGCCAATGCCATGGTGCTCACGGCATCTGCCAGCCCCAGCAGCAGGGGACCAACTGCACATTGGTCTGTCACCTGGCTGCCAAGCCCAGCAGTCATTCCTCATTTTCAGAGGGCATAAGAATGACGAGGTCATTCTCTGAGGATGCAGATCTGAGTGACTACAGCTCTAAACCAGCAACAGCTCACTGCATTATAAAGCTCAGACACTGATTGCTGCTTAGAAGGGTTTTCTCCCAAGATGAAGGATAGACAGGAGCCATGGGACAAATCTCAGGATGAAGGGAACAAACACAGATCAGCCAGATGTATGCCTTCCCTATTACCTACAGACCTTGCATGGCCACTGATGGGCTGCCAACAGGGCACAATGGCTGGGTTGCTAACCAAGGAACAGGAACTCTGCTCTGCTCTGTCTCAGGCTTTGCTGTGCACCTTCATAGCTCATCACCTCATCTGCTCCATGGGAATCATAAGACTTCCTTTCCTCACTGTGTTGTTGTGAGGATAGCACATAAATGAGCACAAGGCACCACCATGTTGCCAAACACATCCATGGCTTTATTTGTTTGTTATTAATACCTTTTCCTTGTTCATCTCTCTTTTTTCCCCTTGATCAGTCCACTCACCAGCCACCTTTTTCTGTCATCTCCACCATGGAGACAGAGCACCAACAGCCACTCCCTGGTCCCCACAGAATCCTGGCATCCCTCAGCTTCTGGAATAGCTTTTCTTCCAGATTCAGACCAGATTGACGCCATACCAAAAGCATTACAAATCAAAATGAGTTCCTTAATTTTCTCCTGGAAGACTATTTTGTGGATGTATTTCTGAACAGCACAGCTAAAAGCCTGTCAACTGCTGTAGCTTTCTCTAGATAAAGCTTCCAAGCCCTGTTCAAACCCTGTCCCTTTTAAGCAGTTACACAATAGGCTCAGCTGGAGATGAGAAAAGTTAGACAGAAGTCCATGGAAATGGTCACAAATGTCATGCTAAACAAAGTCTCTGTGAAGCACTCTTGATGACACGCTACTTTGCCATTCAGGGACAAAGCAGAAAGCTGCAAATACTCCAATTTCTTCTTCCAAAGTGAGCAAACTATTGTCAGGAGGACAGATGTTAATCTCATGCGCCTCTTTGCCAAGTTTCTCAAACATCTGGCACCACCTTTAAATCTTCCATTTTAGCTTTACTCACCTCTTCCTCATCCAAAGTCCTGCCTCAGCAAAGCACTGGGGAAACACCAAAACAGCATTTTCTGGACTGAACTTGAAGAAATTTGAAGAGGTGAGTCATCAGCATGTCAGTGACTGCACAGCCTGGGCTGCCTCACTGCCTCCCTCCCACGGACCCACGCACACTCGGGAGCAGCCAGGAGATGACCTGCCAGAGCCCACATAAAGAGGATCTGGAGACTGATGACTGACCTCCTGCTGTGCAGTGATCAGGGGTCAGACCCAGGCCACTGCTCACCATTAGCTTCTGCCAGAGCCCCCAGGAGGTCACCACAGTCTCATGGCTTCCAGGACCAAAGGCCAAGGCCATCATAGAGGGAACCAACACAGATATTCTGAGCCCACTCAGGTCAAAGACATCTCCTCTGTGCTTCAATTATACCTCTGACCTGACTAGTACAAAAGCATGGACAATCTGGCAGTACAGATGTATGGACAATGCCAAAGCCACCTCTCCATCACCACCCACAAAGTAGTTTTCCAGACGGGATGAGTGCTCCCAAAGATCAGTTCTGAGAAGGTCTTCTGTGAGCAGCAGACTAACCAACCCACTTTCCAATGAAAGGACAACCTGATTAAATTTAAAAAAACACCATCCTAAACAATCTCCACCATCCACAGCCTCTGACACCCCCTGCCAGAGAACTGGTCTGACTTGCAAGAAGCCACAAATAGCCTTGCCAGAGATTCTGGCTGCTCGACAGAGGAAAAACCCTACACTTGCATATAAAACTCAACAACATAGAGAAATCAGGACGTTCCTTTCTTCAGACACAGACCTATCCCTAGGGAAATGGCCAATCCCTTCTGAACTCAAGCAATCATATCTGCAGGCTGTTCACAGAGAAAATTATCCACCTCTCTGTTTCAACGAGATAGCAGGCTGGATTTTCCACACTGGTTATTATCTTAGAGAGCAGCAGATAATGACAAAGCTTCTGGACAAGGAAGCATGAAAACAGAGTCAACCCAGCCAGGAAATTATGGCTGAGACAGTCTGTACATTGCTGCTATTCCCAGTGTAATCTGGTTCTGGGCATCATCCAGGCGGTGGATACGTGCATGAGGGGACCACCTACATTGTCTGTTAGACACCACCACCAACTCCACCAACCCTGGCTTCTAACTCCACCAGCTATGGTTTATGACTGCAGCTATGATCACTTGCAAACATCCATTGCATTTTTCAGTGAACTTACTATAAAATATAAAAGGTTGGGTTTTTTTTATTTTCCTTCACCCAAGAGATGAAGAATGGAAAATCTTAGATAAGAATTGTAGCTAATTTTTTTAAAGGGCCAACTTCTTCACTGATGTAAGCTGGCACCTCTCCATGGACTTTAATGGAGTTGTGCCAGTTTACATCATCTGATAACTTTGCCCAAAACGTCTAAATCTATTTGCTGTCATTTTGCAAGTGCCAAATATGGTTTATTTCAGAACTGGTTTCAGCGCGATGATACTTTCCCCTAACGCCGCTTCAAACGACATCTTACTTTCTTGTATCACATGGCAACATGCTTCTTTCATTAGACAGAAGACCTCAGGGATTTTGTAGAAAAAGAAAAATATGTTTTGCACAACAGAAATGACATTTATCTTCATTTTAAAAATGCACTGATGGCTGCATGGCTGCTGCTGGGAGCTGACTGTGGGCAGGCAGCTCACCAAGGCTCCCTCCCTGTGCTGGGTGGGGCGCCGAGTGTTTGCCTATCACAGCACAGCAACAAAACATGTGCATTAAGAAGGTATTTACAAACATGTAGAAAAATATCTGTTTAATGCACAGCATCTCTAAAGGGGTGTGTTCACATCTTCTGAGTATCTAGTGAGTACTTCAGTCTTTTTGACTGAGGCCAGCAAATCTGAGTCTTCCATGCCCATGCACTCCCCTTTAGGCCAGCTCTAGATGTATATTTTGGACCACTCAGCAACTTCTCTGTGATTAAATGACAAACTTGGGGGAATAAAGCCAGCTGCACTGCACATCCAACTGAAATGGTTTAAACAGCCATTACCCAGGGAGCAAACAGAGCAGCATCTGCTTACCAGCACTCAACCATAAAACCGGGATAACTTCACTCACGTTGCAGGACTTGTACCTGCAATACAACACAGGGAAACAGAAAACAACCCGACCTGGAGCAAAACAACCCAAGGAGGATGGTTGTAGGAGGCAGCATGTTGCTACCAGTCTACAACAGGCTGGGATGACCATCCCATGCCCTCCATTCGAAGTATAGTCCCAACAGCTTCTCCTGCCTGTTTGGTCCTGGCAAGGGTCTCCCACAGGTCTTGCTCCCCTTTCCTGACGTGGCTGTCCCTCTTTGCTTTTATAGCTACCAGCCTGCATTTCAGAAGTTTCTGTTTCACTGTTATTTCTGGTGGAAATGGGCAACCTCAAACCATTTTTAAGTACATCCCAGAGACCGAACAAACCGGTTGAATTCAGACAACCATTTCTAGTTAGAGAGAGAGGAAAAAGCTTATCCTGAAGAGATCAAAATAGTTTGACTTCAAAGAGGAACATTTCATCTCAGAAAGGCCCAAACAATTTGTTTCACAATTTCCTAAACATTTTTTTTAAAACTTTGTTATCAAAACAGCATCTTAAATTGTAAACTAGCATATGCTAAAAATTAAGAAGAGTAAACACAATATTTAATAACTAAAGATAAACAGAACATTGCTCTGGGTCAAAGAACTGTTTCAAACTGGTTCAATGCAACCCTTCAAAACTAAATAGCTTATTGTTTTGCTGGAACTCTCCCTGAATTTCTGTTGTATCTTAAGGCAAAGGATTTTGCTTCTAATGCTTCAGCCAGGTCACTGTGGGGGTTCCAGAAGAGGTGGGTAGTTGCGGATAGGGGTGGGCAGGAGCAGGAGCACAGGCTGGAGGTGACAGCCCAGGAGCAGTATTCACCTGTCCCTGTCATTCCTCACAGTCTGCATCACACTGCCTGCCCTGCATCAGAGGCACTGTCAATCCTATCACCTCTCACCAGACTCCTATCAATGCTGCTGCCAAGCCCATCCCTGAAATGTCACCTCCAATCTCACAGACTGCCTGTCCTGCTGGCAGGCTCGGGCTGCATCCAGACAGTGCCCACAGTGCAGTGGGAAGCAGCTCTGCTCCCCCAGGGGGGACCCCGAGAAACCCAGGGCCCTCTTTACAGCCCAGCATCACACCCCTGCTGTGGGGTTGGGGAAGGAGGAAGAGAGCTATGCTAGGGGGGTCAGATGGCACCTGGGGGAACCAGCTCTCACTCAATGCCCCAGCAGATATGAGCTTTGTTCCCAGCACTTACCACAAATGGGCTCCCGATTTGTGATCTGCACATGAGAAGTCTTGACTCCCATCCTAGAAGTTTCTTAATCAAACCACAAGCTCTTCCATGCAGAGCACCAAACACAACCCTACGTTTTATGAGGCTCCTGATCTCTGCAGTGCTACAAACAGCAATAACAGGAGCGATAACAATGTTATATGGTACCACTGCCACTGCTACTCCGAAGGAATAATTTAAATCCTGTAAATAACCAAGCAATTAAACATGAAAAAGCTCTGTAACAACCAAAGTAATTATGCATCATCCCAAACTGTATTTTCAGAGAATGTTTAACATTACTACTGGCGTTACTACTGCTAACTAAACAGAGCAACAGGCTGCCAGGGCTTTAAATAAATTGTATCTATTAGCTTTGGCATTCTTCCTCGCAGCCAAGCATTAGCAGTGATGAAGAATCATTTAATATGTCTAATCATGGTAATTTTCTGCGCAGTCTTGTCATAACTATTCCTTCTTCTATAACCAATGAACTGGAAAAAACCCGCTTTCTTGCACCAGAAGCAGAGCTCACGAGGAAGGTCTTTTTCTCTGGCTGGGGGACTCAATTGGGCCACTCAAAAATGACAACAAAAAAGAGGGCAGAAGGCCTTTTTCCTCCATGGTGCCAATAGTTCAGGACAGTGAGTTTTCCAAGAGGAAGCCTACAGAGAGGCAACAGCCACTCTAATAAGCTGGGAGAAAGGATTTTAAAGGATAATTTGAAGTCCTACACTAGATGCACCTGCAAAGTGACTTCTGCTACCAGACCATTCCTCCAGTCCCATCCGTTTCACAAAACCCTTTCATCTGTCTCGCTGTATCGCAGCAATTCTGCAAACAACTTCCAGTGAGTTGCTTAGAGCTAATCCTCTGAAAATTCATTCTGTAATCCAAGGATTCATCGCTATGGAAACTGCTTATAATCGGTACTTTTTATAGCTTAAAACACCCGGCATCAACAAAAGGTATTGTAACTCCAACTGATAGTTATTGCATTCCCACTGGAGATTGTCAGCTCTGGAAAGGGGACATGCATCTTCCTGCTAATTTAAGGGAATGAATAATATGAAGGCATCTAATTAAGCTCATGAATGTGAGCTCTGCCGACATACAAAGATGAACCCATGACACCATGCAGTGAGTGGTGGGTCAACATCATGAGCAATGGCATCAGCCCAGCTCAGCCACCTGCTGAGGCAAGGATGGAGGGACAGTCCTCCTGTGTTCTTCCTACTCTTCCAGTGCAATCAAGTTATAAAGCTCATCTTATATAATAAACCATGCTCAGCCCTTTTAAAAAGGCTTGATACCTCATGGCCTGACAGCACTGGCCAAGATCAGTGCCTGAGCCTTGTCCTTGGCAGGGAAGGATTTACACCACATCAACCCATAGAGTTCAGCAACAGTTTCTGACCACAGAGATGGAAGAGCACATTCAAGTGAACACGACAGGACAGTGCAAAATTTCAAATGCTGGAGGGAAGCCTGAACATTTTGAATCAACCACCGGAGTCTGCTATGGCCAAGTGCAGTCCTGCTTGCTTCGCCTTGCAGCCCAGAGGAACTCCACTTGCTTCTGCTCATCTCTGAGATGTGCCTGTGGAGGGAAAGAGGGGGAGAACAAAACTTAACAGTACCTGTGGCAGCTGGGAAAAACACTCCAAAAACAGTGAAGAAGGACTCCCCCTGGCTGTAGTCTGGCAGTGTGTTGTTGGACATCAGCTCTGCAGAGTAGCCGACGAAGCCGTTCTCTGCAAAGACAAGGAGGGCGAGAGGAGAACCTCAGAAACCAGCAAGGCTGCAGGAGACTCTCCAGCTGCTCTCAGCGACCACCTGTCCTCCAGACACACCAAACTGCAGCGGTTGCTTCCAGGGATCATTTGAAAGGATGATTGTCAACTTACATGGTGGGGGGAGAAGGCAGAAAAGAGGTCGGTGTGGTTACAAGGTTGCAAGTGCCAAGGAAAGGCGCAGGGGTGCAGACCAGAACGTGGAGAGGCACCACCAGGCTGGGCAGCTCCTGCCAAGCCAGAACATGGATTGTATGGAGTCCTGTCTCCAAGCAAGCAGGGCATCTTCCTGTGAAGCCTGGCTACCAAGGAAAACTGCCTAAGGGATCAGATATTACATTTTTAATATTATATATACTTATTTATCCATGCCACTTTAATCTTCTTTCCAAAATGAGCAAAATGAAGCTGCCATAAGACAACTGCATTTCTGAGCAAGCCCTCACACCATATCCCAATGCTGTGTTCCTGTCAGTCAAAGCTCCTGCACAGACAAGACCTGAGACGTGCCCATGCTGTGAAGCTGCTACCAACACACTCAGTTTATACACTGATTGCCAATGAACCCAGAGCCAGTAACACCAGTTTGCTGCAGGGTGGGCTCTCTCCTGCAAGATGACTCAGTGGAGAAGGAATAAAGAGCTCTAAAACTGCCCACTGCCTCATCATGCACTTACCCTCCTGATGCCTTTGCTCTCCTGTTGCTGCATTAGCATCTCCAATCTGGTCAAAACATGGGGCTGTGCACCACAATCAGCTGCACTCCCCCCCTCCTGCCCTAAATCTTCTGCAGATGATTATCATGGCACAACAAGGAGCAAATGTAGAGACCCTTGGCTGTGCCCCACTCCCCACACCAACTTCTGCCCCGTCTTTCTAAGTCACACACAAACCCGAAAGTTTTACTTTCCAAACAAAACGTTTTACAGATGATAGAGAGAGGGGAAAACAATAGGCAGGATATCAACATCACGCACCTCATCTACTCATACATAATGGAGGATCCTACTCCCTCACTTCACAGTGGAAGAAGGATGGATCAAATTCCTCGACAAACCTGGATTTGTTAGGAAGAGTTGAGCCCGACAGCTGATGTGCCAGCAGGGCATTAATTAAGAAAGGTTTTAGATGCTTATAGAAAGAAAAGACAGTTTATGATAGCTATAGGCTAAGGAATTAATGGATATGTCTATGAAATTAATAATTTCATTTTCAATAGGCAACACTGCCTTTTAATGGAATATCTTAATCTATGGAAACTTCTCCTCCCCGTCAGTACTCCAAATGCTCGTGCCAGCTGGGGGTGGAAGGTGAGGAAAGTCAGTTTCTTTTTTGCTTCTGCCACTACAATCTATTTCCACAAGACATGTGACTGCAATAACTTGAATTTTCTCATTAGCAGGCAGGATGTTGTTTATGGCTGCACAGGGTGATGGCCAGAAATTAAAAAAAGACTCCATCAAAGCTGTCCCATGCCTCAAAGACAACATTAATAATGTTTGGACAATAGATTAAACCGGAAAATTAAATCAGAGCTCTGAACACAAGACATATCCATTTAAAGTCTCAGAATATAACTAACCACAGAGCTTTGAAGTTGTCACAGAAAAATCCTATAGATAATCAAAAGTTTCCTACTACATCTGCATTCATTGTGTTTCCCAAACGTGGATGGAAACACACTGATAGAAGAGGTCTCCTGCTGCTAGGCTTTCTAAAAGCACTAGCTATCTCCACTAGGAACAAGTCCCAGATGAAATTTAAAGGGAATAAGCTCAGCACAGCACAGTGACCTCTGGACCTCACAGATGTCTGCAGAAAGTGCAGTTTCTGGAGAAACAAAGGGGGAATTTGTGTAGGCTGTATGTTCCTGTAAGACCAGACCTGAGTGCCTTCAACTAGAATCCATGTCCACGATGGCACATGGGCTGGCTGCAAAGCTCCCACCAAACTGCTCAAGGAAAATTTTGGTCCCTGGCCAAGGGACTTTTCACAAAGTGTGAGTTCCTCATAGAAATGTTGATGTTTCATTAGTAAAACAAAAGAAGTAAGCAAAATATTCATCTCACCCCAAGAAGATCTGCAGGCCTTCTCCAACCTGTGCTTCGCAGCAGCACCATCAAATACATCTATGTCACTTGACAGAAGTTTGCTCCACTGATTCATAAAAGTTTCCCTTGAAGTGGACTCTGTCCTCTCTTGACAGTTTACTCTCATATTTTCCTGTCTTCATCATTTAGGTTTCCCCTAACCACAAATTCTCCTTTTCACACAATTTTCCCGGTTTTTGAGGTTGTCTGAAGGCCTGACTCTCTTGGTCAGGTGCTGCAAGTCCTTCCCAGCTGGGGGTCACCTTCAAATTGAATCTGCATATTCTCTTTTGCATCATCTAGGAAGCTAAGAAAAATGCCAAATAACACCAAACCAAAACCAGACTCCTGCAGAACTTCACCAGGCACAGCGTCCCACTTTGCAAGTAAACCATCTCCAGCTGGGGTCTTCCAGTGGTGCTTTGAGGCTATATAATTCAAATGAGGCACTTTGGGTGCCCTCTGTTTCCTTCCTCATACAAAAGGCCGAGTATACAACCAGGCTATACTTTCTGTGGTACTGATTTGGCCATACTATGACTACAGACTGACCATGAGACTCATGAGTCCAATGTCTGACCTGCATCTGTGTGTATCTAACTGCTATTAATCTCAAGTAGTGAAATGATACCTTGTGCTCCATTCATTCATATGTCCCTCCCTTTCCTACTTAATTCCCCTAAGCAAAACTCCTGGGTGAAAGAAACAAAGCCTGAGACCATGGCAGATGTCATTGGAACCACAGAAAATGACAGCCATGGATTTATTGAAAGAGCCACAGGATATGCCTACATCTCTATCCCACTTCTGCTTCCTCTCCTCACGGTTCTGGCAGGTGGGAGGAAGCCCAGCCATTCCACATTTCCCCTGTATACAGAACCAGGAACTTTCTTGACTAATTAAAGAGAAGTTCATCCAAATGTTAGTTGTCATTGCAACCTCATTTCTCATTCAATCGCAAATCTCACACCTCTTTTGATCAGTTTTGCACCAGGATTTGCAGTTGCCATCAATTTAAGCAAGCTATGGGCATGGGAGCACAGAGCTGAGGACAACACCCCGTGAGCATCTCCTGCCTGCCCTCTTGCCTGCGACCGGAGTAAGTCATCTGTGACCTTTCAGCTGTCATATTAATGGGACTAATTGTAGCTGACAGGGCAATTGGGCTGAAAATCATCCACAACAACACAGGAATCAGCAACTGAGACCAATCGGTTAAACCAACAGAGCACTTGGTCAGTTGTTCACAGAGTCAATTATCCACATCCCATTGAAAGTGCACTTCAAAAGGCCGAGCTTCGGAAGGAGGAGGGAAGGAAATGCGATAGGGCCTATATTTGGCACTCTGATCTCTAAACAAGGCAAGATCGTTTTATTAATTTTTCTTTTGTAAGATCTTTTTCTCCAGCTTACTGCTGGGTACATGAGATTCAAAACAGATTCCTCCCTCCTCGCTCATTACAAAATGTTTGTCTGACAAATTTTCCTCTCAATCAATTTATGCAACCCCACAGCCTCTAAATCCTGCCTTTAATGATCCTGCTCTCAGCTGGCTTGCAGAGGGCTGGAGCTGAAGTGCTATAAACAATCTTCCCTGTGTCATGCTAGAAGAAAAGAATCCAGTTCCTTCTCTGTGCCGTGTCAGCCCTATGGGAAATGCACAATAAAGAGTGGTAACAATTTATTTTCATCATTAGATACTCAATAAGGAGAAAGCAAATAATGGGTTTCTCAAGTGGCTGAGCTGATATAAATAAACAATTGGGAAAAATTGACTTAGAGCAACATCTGAATTATTCCTGTGATTTTTCACAAATTAAGTCCTTTTAGTTGCCCATATTAAAATGATGTAATAAACAATAAAAACCACCTAGTAAGTTTGAAATGGAAGAGCTTCCAGGATGAGCATCCTCCGTTTGCAAGCACAAGGGGACCACAGGAGGCTGCACACCAGCCTGATGCAGCCAGAGGAGGAGGAAGAAGATGGTCAGGACTCTCACATTCCTCCAGCCACTGTGGATGCCTAGGAGGAGGTACCAGTTTTCATCTGATTGCCTCTGCTGCATCCACCCTCTATCCTGGTAGGTTTCCATGTTTGAGCTTTTCTTGCACTTTCTCCCACTTCTGACCCTGTGGAAGGACATGAAAGCAACCAAGGAGGTTTTTGGCACTCAAGGCACCCCTTACAAGGGCAGCCCCTCCACAAGGCCCAGGGTTTTGGAGGGGAAATTCCAAGAGGTTGGAGAAGGGGTGCAAGGCAAAGCTGTGGTTACACAGGGTCAGGCCATTATGCAACAGCACAGAGGACGACGGTGCTGCCAAGTTCCAGACAACCTGGAGCTCATTACAGATTAGTCAAGTCTTGGCCAAATTCAATAAGCCTGTTCACAAGCTTAAGGTTAAGCAAAGCCTGGCACCGAGGCAGGGGCTAAATAATGCAAAAATGGAAAACCACCTCAAGAAACAGCTCCCAGAAGACAGTTATGAATTGCACTCTTCTTGTGATTAGAGATTTTAATTACAAAGGTGAATGCTGAAGGCTTGAAATGGTGAGGTGTGGTTTTTTTTCTTTTCCCAAAGACGTGAACCCACACGTTCCTGCCTGGAAGGTACTTGCTGAGATTTTCTTTCAGAGGAACAGCTGGAAGTGTTTGTCTTGCAGCACATTTCCCAGGTCTGACCTCAGCATTTTCAGGATCCTGTGTGATGTAAGACATGGAGAGCCAAAGAGTAATTATATATCCTTGGCATAATTATCTCTGCTCTCTCTCTTTTTCCCATTTCTTCTTCCATCTCTAAACCCTTCTGGCACAAGCTCTGAAATCCAGTTGTTCCCCTTGGATGCCAGTCCAAATGCACACCCAGAATGAG